TGAGAGGGTGTCGCGGCAAGCGACCGTACTAGGAAGTGGTGTAGATCGTTTTGCGGGCGACTTGCTGTGACGATTGTCTTCTCTGGAGTGTGATTTTACACGGTCTTCTTGAGTGGGCCGTCTCTTCAACTTCACTTAAGGTCAGTTTGACTCAACCCTTCACACCTGTGTGAACCCGCACTTGCTCGACCTTGTCCTTTGAACGTTCATTGAAAAGGTAGAGGGGATGTGTGTTTACGTGGGCGAATGAAAGTCTGATGTGAGTTTGGGATTGCATTGTCCGCTTTTGAAATTGTTGTTTCCTCTGATGTGCAGGTAAGTAGAAGAATGCTTGAAAGAGAAAAAAAAAAGAAAAAGGGGAGAGGTCTGATCATGTCAGCGGAAACGAAGGGATGATGATTGTTTTTTTGTCACTCACTCAAATGTATGCTGAAGGGATGGGGAGGCAGAGGACGACGGGAAACGAAGCGATCGCGCAAAGAAGAGGAAATCAATTGCACTCATACTCATTCCCTGAGGCTACCCATTATTTCCCGAATGACCCTCTTCGTCTATGCCCGTTTGTTTGAATGTTTTTTCTTCTCTATGATCTCCTTCTTCGTCTAGGTTCGCCCTTGACGTCAAGCGACAAAGGGCTGACTGCCTACTGTGGTAAGCGCATTTCCTTTCCCTAGGAGGCATCTGAGGCAGGGGTTCGTTGCCTTAGGGGTCGGCCCTGTGATCGACTCGGAGTGGACCGCATTGCGGGGGGATACCATGCTGTTGTGGCGGAGCCGGCCCGACTTCTGAGATCCGAGATTCGCTCGGGCGAGGACGAGGGGTATCCCAGACCACCTCCTAGGGGATGGACGTGTGCCATTCACGGAGGGCGTTAAGTTCTTGGCGGCTCACGTTAAGAAGAACCGCTATAATTTACCCTTCTAGTGACCGTCTTAGGAGCCACAGACGAATGGGGAACTGACGCCTTAAGAAGCCCAGTTCACTAGCTGTGGACGGAGTGCGAGTAGGCACTACCCTCGCAGATAGGTTTGCATCACAAGAAGTGCAAGCCTGGGGAATCAGGCTAGTTGACAGGAAAATGTGGCTAGAGCATTGCTTTGAATGTCTTTATGTCGAAGATTGGTACTTCGTCATTCGCAGAACAGAGAGAGTAATTACTGCCCAGGAGGATAAAACGACAAAAAAAAATTGAAAGCGGATCCTTGTCTTTAATGGGGTATTGAGCGTTCGATTGTTCGAGTTGGTTGCTGACTCGTATAATGATAGTCGGACTACTTGCGAATGGCATTCACACCAAAGTTAGAATTGGAGCATAGTCATCACTGGCGCGATGGCATCCTAGCTTTAATCGAGTATTGGGATTTGTCTTCATTCTTGTCTAGCAGTCGATATGGGGTGGAATGAAAGAACTTGGCAACGCACCTCATGAAGTTGAAAAAGTCGTGACAGCCTAGACGAGTGATATGTATGAGTGTATGAATTTCAGAAAATAATCTTGCTTACGTCGACACGATTATTTTGCAACTTTTAATTGTCTTCGAAAGAAGGGACTAGGATTGATTGAGATTTTCTTACGCCTAGGTTATCACGTCCTAGTCGACCGACGTCGGTCTGATTCCTGGGAGGTCAGCGCCCCAGGGACGGACGACGTTCGGGTCCACTTTGGCGTTCGACCACGCGTACCTATGCTACAGCGAGCGAGTAAACGCCCTCGGCCGTCCTACCTCTGCAATTGCATTATAAAAGCCTTCGCATGTGGGTCGGTAGCTCGGCGGGGATACGTCCCCAAGGGTGGTGACAGCCCCTTGGGGAAGGTAAGTTGTGCCCCGTGAGAACCTATCCTGTCGTCGGGGACCGCGGGATGTACAGCTGGCGCACTCGGCGGGAGTGGCAAAGGGTCGGCGCGGGTTACCGTGTCGTCCCCAAATTGTCTCTAAAAAAGTTGAAAGACTAAAGTTTCTCCTGCGTGACACGGCCGGGAGGGCCCACGCTCGCGCGGGGGCCGATGCTCTCGACAACGTGACAAGGAGGAGGAAGAGGAAATACAATCGGAGAAGTGACGACGACAACGTGACAAGGAGGAAGAGGAAATACAATCGGAGTTTGATTTTCAGAGTTTTATTCAAAAAGAAGAAACAAACTGACTAGTGCGTGACAAGGTGGAGATGAGATGGAGGAGGAAGAAGAGGAGACGAAGGAGGGATTGAGAAGGAGGAGGTGAGGAGGAGGAGAGATGGAGGACGACGACGACATGATGAGGATGAAAACGACGACGCGATAAGGAGGAGGAGATACCATCACAGGTTTAACTTGAAGGTTTCCATTAAAACAAAGAAAAAAGTGACGAAACCGTGATGAGGAGGATGAGAAGTGGATGAGGAGATGGAGAGATGGAGGAGGAAAGATGGACGAGGAGGGATGAAGGAGGAGAAGTAGGAGGACAACGACGAGATACCATCACAGTTTGAACTTCGAAGTGTCAAGGAAAAATAAAAAAGTGACGAGGTCGTGACAAGGATCATGAGAGGTGGGGAGATTGAGAGATGGAGAGATGGAGCAGGAAATATGGGCGAGGAGGGGTGTAGGACAAGGATGAGGAGACATGGAGGAGGAGGAGGTCGACTACGACGCGGAGATACTGTCACAGATCGAACGTTTCCATAATTCCATTGAAGAAAAAAAGAAGTGAGGAGGCGGTGACAAGGAGGATGAGAGGTGGAGGAGGAGAGATGAAAAGATGGAGGAAAGATGGATGGGGAGGGATGGAGGAGGAGGGTGAGGAGACAGGAGGAGGAGGACGACGACGAGATACCATCATAGTTCGAAATTCAAAGTTTTCGTTAGAAAAAAAAAAAGTGACGAGGCTGTGACAAGGAGGATGAGAGGTGGAAGAGTAAAGATGGAGAGATGACAGGGAAGAGATGGAGAGATGGGAGGCGGAAATATGGACGAGCAGGGATGGAGGTGGAGGACGAGAAGAGATGGAGGAGGAAAGATTGACGAGGAATGGCAAAGGAGGACGAGGAGAGATGGAGGAGGAAAGATGGACGAGGAGGGGTGGAGGAGGAGCACAAGGAAAGATGGACGACTATCGGTAAGGGTAGATATGAGATTCCCACACAAATCGAAGTTTACACAAGAAAGAAGATGAGACCTTGACAAGGAGGAGGGCGAGGAGGACAGGTGGGGGAGGAAGTGATGATGAGGAGGAGAGATGGAGGAGGGGAGGAGGAGGAAGCGGAGGTGATGAGGAGATAGACCGAGATACTATCAAAGCTTCGAGTACAAGACCCGATACTATGGAAAAAAGAGAACCGGACACTACCGAGACGAGGTGGAGAGATCGAGGAGGAGGAAGGGGAAGATGTGGAGGAGGTGGAGGGGGAGGAGGTGAGTTCGAGGGAGGGCAGGAGGGTTGGTGAAAACTCACCTTGGAGGAGGGTTAAAGTCGGCGATGGTCGCTCCAGCAGAGCTTAGCCGCGGTGATGATGCAAATGCAGGGGGAGGTCGGCGCTGCTCATAGCGGGAGATTGACTGCGCTGCTTCCCAGCGTGGACTGGAGGCGGCTGCAACAGTGAGTAAACGGCCTGCCGAAGGCCCGCCAGATCGACCTGCGAAAACTAGGAAACGGTCCCCCCAACCCAAAACGAAACTTGAAATCGTTTCGGGCCACGCTTAGCCCGCTAATTTTTTTTTTCGGCCCTAATACCATTTTTGCTGGGGGGCAGCCCAGGGACGAAACGACGCCGGCCTCTTTTTTTTTGTTTTTTTTTTTCCTGGGGCTTCGTGACCCATCCAGGTTGTGCGCCGCACTGTTGGGGTGCGCTTGAGCGCCCGCGGTCCCGCAAATCAGCGGACGACGTGCGCTTGCATGTATGCTCGTAATCTTAGGCGCTTCTCACTAGCTTTCGTTTTTTTTTTTTTTCTTTTTCTTCCTTTTTTAACCTCAGCGGCAACTTTGCTCGTGCCTCTTCCCGGCTGGTGTCACTTCTTTTGAAAAACTGTACAAAATGAGGTATAACACCCCACCAAACATAACGGTACAAAAGGGCACAGGTAGTTGCTTAACAGGTGGTGAGATACCGTGCTCACTTTCCACTTGATCAGAGTGGGAATCTTGCTGACGTGGTGGCTATCCCGAGGTATTTAACACCAGGTAGTTGCTTGACAGGTGGCAAGATACCGTGCTCATGTTCCACTTGCTCAGAGTGGGAATCTTGCTGACGTGGTGCCTATCCCGAGTCCAACACGTGTCCAGGGTAGAGATCATTACCTGCGCTGATACCAGTGTTACAAATTACCAGAATCGCGATTACTTCCATCCATCATCGCGTTCACACACTTCGTGGAGAACACCTGATTGCAACGCCACAGGAAATCGGAATTGGACAGTCACATACGAAATAGTTGATGGAACCAGAAAAAGGTGATGAAGACTTGAAGGCCCTGCCTCCCTCAGCAACATGCGGCAATCAGCTCAAGAAACTGTCAAGTGAACAGAAAGTTCTGACTGGCTGTGGTCTCTCTCTCTCTCTCTCTCTCTCTCTCTCTCTCTCTCTCTCTCTCTCTCTCTCTCTCTCCTTGAGCAGTGGTGAAAGTAGCGTCTCTCCATCCTGTTTAAGTGTATTGTAGAGAGAGAGGTAAAGCTGCTTTGATTTTGGATCTAGTCCTGAGTGGAACAGGGGTTGTTGTGGTGAGCAATGAAAGCACACACACACACACACACACACACACACACACACACACACACACACGCACACACACACACACACACAAACGCACGCGCACACACAATGGAGTTCAGCTGTATTGAGCATTGCCGGTTCCATGTGTTGTCGTTGATGTTGTTGATCTTTCCAGAGTTTATCCTCCACGAATGCCAGGTTTTCCACCTAGCAGCCTTGGGATGCAGATGGGCTCGGGGCTGATGTTCTCGCAGGGACATTCAGGCGCGCAGGGGTTGAGCAGTTCTAATGGAACAGGAATTTCCTCCACGTTGTCAAGTTCACCAGTGAAATCAACAAGTGGATCATCTGCTGGAGCTTCGTATGACTTCTCGGCGCTTACAGCTGCCTCGTTTGGGAAGTAGTGCTGGCAATGGTCGCATTGACGTGTGGGTTTATTCCAGAGAGGGAACTTCAAAATGAGGAGGAGGAAGCTGTTAGAAGTGGAGGGCCGCAGGAGGGCTTAGCCGCGAGGAGTACCTACTGCTCTTGGACACTGTGAGCCTTGTCCGCTAGTCTTTTTGCCATGTGCCTGTCAATCTACCCCTTGCCGGCGTCATTGAGGGACCCCTGTTTCGCGATGCAGCTTCCCTGCCTCCGATTATTCCGAGTAGGCAGAGCTTAGAGGAACATCTGCTCTGGGGGATATCAGACAGTCCCCTGTGCTCTTCTGCGTGCCGTCGGCAAAACCCGCCCTCACAGGATTTTCCACCTTGCGTTGTTTGTGGGTGGTAACGCTGCCAGCGACATGTTTTTTTTTTGTGCGAGGACGTGTATGCGATCGTGTGCAGCAGGTGCTATTGTCGATGTTATCGTTTGGGGGCTGGTAGCTGCTGCCACTAGCCAATGTGGCAGTGCATGAGGTCAACGAAGTAGTGCCCATATGTGCATATGGTCTCTAGCTGCCGCCGATTGGTGATTCGTACGAGGATGGGATCTCTTGGTAATGTGTGCAACAAGGCTGCCATGTTTTAATGTTTCGGGCACCGCTCAGATGCGTGGTGCACTTGGCTGCACGTCTGCTAGCAGCTCCTTGTTGGCGATGTCTATTTCGATGCATACATGTCTGCGTAGATGTACGTGTAAACATGTCTGTTTGATGCTTCGCGCATTCTCCCGGTTGTAAGATGGCTATACGTGCGTTTGTCCCATTTCATCAGAATCTCCTGCCCGCCTGGGTTTTGAAGAAGTTTCCTCTTTTGGAACAGCAGCGGCAGCAGTCCGCCAGGCTCAGATAACAATTGTGTAGTCTGGTAGGACTGCCCTGCTCAGATCGAGCATAGCGCCAACGGGAAAGGCGAGGGGGGGGGAGATTCGTGCTCGAGACTACGAGAACCTTTCATCGAAACTGGTGGCCGTTAGGTGGATGCATTTAGATGCTGTTGGATGGAGAATGTTTTGCAAGGGATTGGTCGGCGCAGACGCTGGCAAAAGCGGAGCGGTGACACAGAAAGGTGGGCACGTTGCGGCGTCTCGCGAGAGATGGTGGTGGTCGCGCGCGTGTGGTAGAATTTGTTGGACGGATGGCCGGGGGGCGCAAGTTCGTTGCAGGTTTTCGCAACTGTGGCTGGGCAGGCTGGGTAGCTTCCGAGGTCCAACGCTCCGATGGTCGAGGAGGAATGAGGGCGCGAAAGGAGGCCCATCTGCCTGCCTCCTTCGCAATGGGCGTTGTTTGAGATGCTTTTGGAGTGGCATGTGGGTGTGGATGAATTGGAAGCACGGACGAGGAGGCACAAGTTTGTTGCAGCCTTGCAGGTTTGCTCAGCTGTGGCTGTACAGGATGGGGTAGCTTTGGAGTTGCGACGCTCGGATGGTCAAGGAGGAAAGGGGCTGCGGAAGGTGGTTCAGTTCCATCCGCCTTCGTGATGGGCCTTATTTGAGCACTCAGGAGGGGTTTACGGGGGGGTTATGGGTAACGAAGGAGGGGCGTTCGTAGGATCTATTGCATTCCACGTCGAGTCGGAAGGAGAATGGCTTGGCGAGGATGTGGTAGGTGGTTTGGTTCCCTCTGCCTTCGCGATGGGCCTTATCTGAGCACTCTGGAGGGGTTTACGGGGGGGGTTATGGGTAACAAAGGAGGGGCGTTCGTAGGATCCACTGCATTCCACGTCGAGTCGGAAGGAGAATGGCTTGGCGAGGATGGGGTAGGTGGTGTTGGGTGAACGTCTGATGACGCTGCTGCTGCCCATGTGGACTGAATCGGCGTCTGATCGGGAGTGTAGCAGCTTGGTGTGTGTGTCGTCATGTGCGGAAACTGGGAAACGGTGGATAGAAGGGCAGGGGCTCAGTGGTCGGGTATGCGTTTGGGTGGAGGCAAGTCGCTGCAAAAGCGTGAGTGAATAATGAATGCTCTGTGATGACAGATGCAAGAGACTTCATTGGTTTAGGCAGAAGTTCAGAAGATGAGTGATTGGCAGTGTGTTAGGGCGTACTCACTCTAGTAAACTGGTATCTGGGCGTGTTTGCAGTCAGGTACATCCAGGGCTGGCCGTAAAAGCGGTCAGACAAGGGGATGTGGGCGTAAAGCCGGGCTGCGAATCGTCCAGGGGAGTGCTAGTGTGAGTACGGCCTTTTAGAGTGTGAGAACAGGGATTACGCCCTGTGTGTTTTTTTTCTTGTTGGAAGTGAAATAGCTGTGTATGATGGTCCGATCAGTAATTATTTGATTGGTGCGATCCACTTCTCTTCCAGGTGAAATAAATGCCAATTCTTATGGAATCGTGTGAAATGATGGTCGTACGAAAATGCGATTAGCTCACCAACCAGCCCTTCTGCATCGTCCTGAAATTCAGGTTGAACCAGCCAGTCTGTACTGATGGCTTGGCTGGTGGTGGTCCCCACAGGGTATATCGAGTAGTGCGAGCTCAGTTCCCGGCCAACTCGGCACGGGCGTCGACCGGAATTCGGTCCCTTTGAAGAATAAGCCAGCCCACATGTGGAGGTAAGCATTGAGCCTTTTTTGCGACATATATGCGAAGTGGGGAAGGAAATCTGAACGTAGTCTATATATAGATACTAGCACGGTGCGGCGAGAGGAATGTACTCGGTGAGGATGGCTGAACAGGTGCAAATGTGTTTTGAGGAAATTGGGGATATCTTCTTACGGAAAGCGATCGATCGAGATTATGAATGGATATGGAAAGGGATGGGAACAAAACGGGGAAGGAGGAGGGAGGGGATGTGTCGCTTTTGATGATCGTTAGCTCGGTGCTGGAAGACAATCGTTCATCCTTCTTTGTCAGGAGGGTTGTTGCTGATTTTGAGCCCTAAAAGAGCGCTCATTTTTTTATTTTTTTTTAAAAACAGGTCCTTATGGTCCTGGTTGTTGTCCATTCTGGCACGCATGCACGGCCCGGCCCATGGTATTTCTCTTTTCCCTTTTTCCACGTGTTTGCTTGATTGATGTTTGCCAAATTGCCATATTCCTGCCGCTAAAGAGGCGAAAGCGTTGATATTACTGGTGTCCTTTTCTGTCTGTCTGCATATTACGAGAAAGCTGACCACATGCACAAAAGAGTTGAAAAGACGAAACTTGTGGCGGTGTATCTTTCCATGTTTTCGTGGAGGATTCATTCTGGTCTTGCATGTTGGTGAGCAGCGGAGCGAGGCCCTGTGCATGTTTTATTGGTGGTGTCTCTCTCCATGTTTTCGCGGAAGATTCATTCTCATCTTGCACATTGGTGAGCGGTGGAGCGAGGCCCTGTGCATGTTACGACCCTATCTGAGCAAGATGTGTGTAAGAAAAAGTCCATAGCAGAATTCGCACCATTCAGCCAGGGGGTGGGGTGGGTTTCTGTGTGTAATACGGGGGGCAGCAGGGGTAATCGGGGGGGCAAGGGGTTGCAGGCCTGGTTCTTGTCACCGGGAAACCGTTCCATTGGCATCGCCATGCGCTGCTATACAAAATAGGGCAATGGGATCTCTTCATTAGAGGACGATTCGGCAATGGGCATCGCCATGCGCTGCTATACAAAATAGAAGCTGCACGTCTCTTCATTAGAGGACGATTCGGTGTTTTGTTTTTTCTGTTTTTTGCTTACTCGTCAGTCTCGAGGCTGCGGAGCGATCGAACTTTTGCCTGGCAATGGGAAATCGTTTCACGGGCATTGCCGTACAGAACAGAAGTCTCCTGTTTCCTCATCAGTCTCGAGTTCCCTTTTTGGTGTCCGAAGTTCCCGTTCGGCAAGGCTCGTCCGATTCCGCGTCCACCAGGGCTGGGCTGACCTATCAGCCCTCAGCTGGTGCCTATCACTGCTGTTCAGTCCACGTTACGTGCCCATTGGTAGGGTAATGGTCCTGTCAGCGAGTGCTGGTCACACTGAGGGTAATGGGTATAGTGGGATAGGGGGTGCGGCGGTGCGCTAGGAGTATTGACGTGAGGATGGGATGGGATGGGATGGGAGGTGGTCCCCACGGCCGACTGCTCCAGGTGAGCACTGTGCACTCTGGTGACTGGGCTCTACAAAACCATGGACTTTTTTTAGAAAGGAAAAAACAAAAAAAAAAGGAGTTCCTTTTTTGGTTTTTGCTGACGAATCCGTCTTGAGGTGGGAGCGCTGGAACTTTTGCCCTTTGAATCCTTGCTGCTGCTTCGGAGTTGTCAAAGAGTATCCTTAAACTCGCTAGAACCTCTCCTTTTCCCTGTTCTTTTTTTTTTTGTTTTGTTTTTTGACTGTTTCTTGTTTTATTTGTGTCATCCTTGTGGAGCGGCCATGATGACCTTTTTGTCTTTCTCTGTATCGTTCCACTTATAATGGGTGCCTGAAGGGACTAAACCGGCAACAGTACCTTTCCCCACTTGGAAAACAAATATGCGGTTCTTGTCGGGCGGATTTTCCAGGTTCAGGTAGGGGATGGAAATGGCTGGCGGCGCCAGCTGAAAGCAGCCCTGTGTTAGTTCGTTCTCGTCCTCGGCATTAATAGCTGGGTGGGGTACTGGTGGTTTAACCCACCAGTACCCCAGGGGTTCTTAGGCCCCCTCTGGGGAGCCTCTGAGGCAAATGCATATGGACCTGCGCGGCGCACCGATTCAGCCACCGCGTCAACGTGCATATGGACGTGTGAGGCGCACTGAATCAGGCACCGCGTTAACGGCCTAAAATCGTGGAGGTGCTGGTCGTTTGACACGTTGATAATACGTACTTGAAATGCAATATTTGTAGCAGGCTCTATTAATAGCCCTCTAAAGTAGTGGCCTGGAAAATTCTCCTTCATTTCATTGTACGTATAAAAAATTGAAAAAGAAAGGAAGGAAATCTACGAACAACAAAAAAAAGGGAAGAAAATCTTTTGCAAGATGAATGTGTGTGGATGGGAATCCAAGTTCATGCAACTTGCGTGTGCTGTTGCTGTGGGCCGGAAGGCCCGTCATTGCACGTCTCTTTGGGAGTTTTCTCTGCGGCATACGAGTTTCTTTTTTCTTTTTTCTTTTTTCTTTTCTCTTTTTTCATATTGAAGTTTGAAATAGCTGGGTAATGGTCCCAGCAAAAAAAAAAAAAAAAAAAAAAAAAAAAAAGGGAAAGAAAAGTAAAGAAATATGAAGTTTGAACGTAGATGGTGGTTATTATAATATTGTTCCTCCTGGCTGGTCCTCTACAATCCTCTGTGTTCTTGATCCGGTTCTTTTTTTTTTTTTTTTTTTTCAATAATGAAATGACTGGCTACATTTTATTGCGCACAACAAAGGGGAGGCCCGGGAGTCCTGCCTTTATTTTTATTTTTCTACATTTTTTTTGCTTGTCCGAATTTCTGGTTGTAATGATGCGCTGCTCATACAGAGGTCGGATGGTGCAAATTAATTCAGAAACATGAAAAGTTTCACATCGTTGAGTGTGCTAATCATCCGTTAAAAATCGGACATTACAGAGAAAGACGATTAGGATGGCCCCTTCGCAAGGATAACACGGAAAAAATGGAAAAGGGGAAAAAAAAAAAAAAAAAAAAAAAAAAAGAACTGTGTAGATGGAAACCTACAGATGAATGTGTACAGATGGAAAGAGTTGTCATCTTTGCTTGAATAGGACATACGGTCATTACAGCTGCATGTGGGTTAACTTCCAGTTCAGATACGGCGCGATATACCGGGCGTTCTGCTCGGGCGAAGATGGTAGTATTCAGTTGAGGATGGATCCCTTGCTTTGCCCAGATTAATGTAGGTGGACAGTGCTAGATATGACCGTTAGGAGTTTGTCATCAGAAGTGAACGCACGAAGGCCGCACTTGTTTTTGCCGTTGGAAATTGTATTTGGGGGATGCAAATGAAAATGCTTTCTCTGTGTAAGTCGATCAAATTTGAACATTCTTTTGATTGTGTGTTACCGAATCGGGCATTTTGTGAGATGCAGCATTCTGTGACACGCCTCATTTTGCGAGATGCCCCGGTTTTTCTCTGCGGCAAACTGGCGGCACAATGGAGCACAACGGTGTTTCTCCTCTCCTCCCTATCCTCCTGAGTATGTTCCGCCAGTTTGCCGCAGAGAGGAGCCGAAAAGACCCTCGAAAAAATTCCCTCTTGATTTAGTGCAACCGCGCAGGTGAAAAGATATGCAAGGAAATAAGCAAAATGAGAAGTTTTGAGAACAGCAATGAACCAGATTGCCACATCTCAAAGAAGAGCAGACATAATTTAGCCGATTTGAAAGTGGAAATCAGAGTGAAATGGACACCAAATAGTTACGACGAGCAATACACCGAAGTCTCTTGATAAAGAAAGCGCTTCCACGGGCACGAACCATCTGAATACAATGAGTCGATGACAATATAGTCTTCCTATTCGTCGGCCTGAACGCCGTCTCTACTTCCTTGTCAATTGCCTACGACTAGTCAAGGACAATGTAGTCTTCCTATTTGCCGGCCTACGTTCTACCTAGTCTTAGCCCTATCTCCATGCCAGCAATGGTCCCCTTGTCAATTGCCCGATGCCACTTGAAGACTTCTGCTCACACAGCCCACCTTCGTCAACAGGAGGTGCAGGACTCCCTACAGCTGCCTTGTCCCGTCTCTGTCACCCTTCTTCTCTTTCGCCCAAGACTCACCGCATTTCTGCCATCCAGCTATGGCACGCACGCACGGCCCGGCTATGGCTGGTGCCCGACTCTTCCTTCCTTGTTGCCACTGCAGCAGCTTCCTCCTCAGGCGCAGCGCTAAGCAGCTGCTCCAGCTATGGCTGGTCGTCACCAGGTATGTGCTTTCGATAAAAATCGTTCAAAATCCTGCGTAATGCGGCTGGGAGGGTCCCCTTGCGGGACCAATGCGCTCGACACCGTTGCGGTCCGCTTGCGGGACCGATGCGCTCGACACTGTTACGTCCTGGAAACAAAGCCCGCTGATTCTCGTGACCACCCTGCCATCTGTTGGGTCTTGTCAATGGCCTGTGGCTATTCTACCTGGCCGTTGGCTTGTGCCTGGGGAAAAGAAAGGCGACGACCTCCGCCCTGGTGCGCGGTTAAATGGACAAACGGATATCCCCAGCCACCATAAGACGCCGGTCGGACAGCTGTGTGTGCAGGCCTACTGTTTGCGGTCCGCCAATGTATCAGTAGTTGCAAAGATGGATTTTCCCTAAAGCCAGCCGTACTTTTCGCTCCCGTAGGTCGAATTCTGAAACTTGCGGCGCGAGCACGGGTACGCCAGAGAAAACCGGTTTTGAAAGTTGGTGGTGGTGTAAGCTGTTTTCACAGTGGGGGTTCACCGAATGGGTTAACGCTGGAGTGCAGCGACAAGAGAGACCCTAAGTACCGAGTATATATTGATAAGAGCACTACTTAGGTTCGCATGAACTGTTGATTTAACTGTGACACCATGCTGCAGAATCAGCTACACCGCTTGCTGCTATTCTTGTTATTTCACACCTTAGAGAACAAACAGTGCGAAGGAATCGAAAAGCATCAATTCAGTTGCTACCATCTTACCCCAAACATAACGCACCCTAAAAATGAATGTATACAAGCTTTGTCTGGCCAGATACAGCCAATATAAGGGTGCGTTGTGTTTGGGGGAAGACGGTAGTGTCCCTTCAAAACCCTTCAAAACCTAAAATACAGGTAGTAGCGGTTAGAGGTGTGTCCCTGCCCTGGCATCATTAACTTGAAGGCGAATAAAGTGAAACCCCGACTACCTTTCAGAGTGGAAGGCGAACCCATGAATGTAAAACCTGTGCAACATCCTTTGGAGGCAGGGTGTCACAGGACCGAAATGTTTGCGGGAGCCACAGGCAAAACGATAGAAAAATGGTCCTGTTGACGTGTCAGCAAAGCTGGTTATGCAGCTCCTTTT